AGTGGTTTGAAAGAATCTCGAGAATCCCTTGTCTTGTTTTTGAAGTAATTTGAAATAAATCTCGGAGACCACCCCTGAGTGTGGTTTTTCAAGTTGTTTACAAAACTTTCGATGTCTCTTTGTGTTTCGTTTTTGAAGTAGTTTAAAAGAATCTCGGGAATCCCTTGTCTTATTTTTGAAGTACTTGTAACAAATTTCGGGGACCACCCCTGGCTGATTTTTGAAGTATGTAGTTTAAAAGAATCTCCGGGACCTCCTGCGGGTCTTGTTTTTGAAGTGGTTTGACAGAATCTCGTGAATTCCTTGTATCTTATTTTTGAAGTAGTTTGAAAGAATCTTGAGGATTCCCTGTTGGCTTTGTTTTTGAAGTAGTTTGAAAGAATCTCGAGGATCTCTTGTGTCTTGGTTTTTAAAGTAGTTTGAAAGAACTTTGGGGATCTCTCTTCTAGTTTTTGAAGTAATCTGAAAGAATCTCGAGAACCTCTTGTGTTTTGTTTTCGATGTAGTTTGAAAGAATCTCGGGAATCCCTTGTGTTACATTTGAAGTAATTTGTAAGAAATCTCGCGGACCACCCCTGTTTGATTTTTGAAGTATGTAGTTTAAAAGAATCTCCGGGACCTCCTGCGGGTCTTATTTTTGAAGTAGTTTGAAAGAATCTCGAGGATCTCTTGTGTCTTGGTTTTTTAAGTAGTTTGAAAAGAACTTTGGGGATCCTTTGTCTTGTTTTTGAGGTAATTTGTAAGAAATCTTGGGGACCACCCCTGTCTGATTTTTGAAGTCTGTAGTTTAAAAGAATCTCGGGGCCCTCCTGCGGGTCTTGTTTTTGAAGAAGTTTGAAAGAATCTCGAGGATCTCTTGTATCTTGGTTTTTCAAGTAATTTGTAAGAAATCTTGGGGACCACCCTTGTCTGATTTTTGAAGTATGTAGTTTAAAAGAACCTCCGGGACCTCCTGCCGGTCTTGTTTTTGAAGTAGTTTGAAAGAATCTCGAGGATCTCTTGTGTCTTGGTTTTTAAAGTAGTTTGAAAGAACTGCGGGAATCCCTTGTCTAGCTTTTGAAGTAAGTAATTAGAAAAAAAATCTCTGGGGCCACCTCTGAGTCTGGTTTTTAAAGTAGTTTAAAAGAATTTCGATGTCCTTTTGTGTTTCGTTTTTGAAGTAGTTTGAAAGAATCTCGGGAATCCCTTGTCTTATTTTTGAAGTAATTTGTAAGAAATCTCGGGGACACCTCTCATTGATTTTTGAAGCAGTTTAAAATAATTTCGGGCACCTCCTGTTGGTCTTGTTTTTGAAGTACTTTGAAAGAATTTCGGGGATCTCGTGTCTTGGTTTTTAAAGTAGATTGAAAGAACTTCGGTGATCCCTTGACTAGCTTTTGAAGTAATTTGGAAGAATCTCGGGAACCGCTTGTGTTTTGTTTTTGAAATAGTTTAAAAGAATCTCGGAGACCTCCTGTGGGTTTCATTTTTGAAGTAGTTTGAACTAATCTCCGGGACCCCTTATGTCTAGTTTTTAAAATAGTTTGAATGAATCTTAGGGATCATTTGTGCCTGGTTTGGAGTAATTTGAAAGAATCTCAGAAACTCCTTGTGTTTTGTTTTTGAAGTAGTTTGAAAAGGTTTCGGGGGTCCCTTGTCTTGTTTTTGAAGTGCATCAATTGAAAGAATCTCGGGGGTCTCTTGTGTTTTGTTTTTAAAGTAGTTTGAAACAACTTCGGGTTCCCTTGTTTTGTTTTTGAAGTAATTCCAAGAATCTCGGGGACTCTTTGTGTCTGGTTTTTCAAGTAGTTTGTAAGAACATTGAGGATCCCTTGTATTTTGTTTGGAGTAGTTTGAAATAATGTCGGGAACCCCTTGTGTTTTATTTTTGAAGTAGTTTGAAAGGATCTTGGGAATTACATGTTTTGTTTTTGAAATAATTAAAAAAAAATCTCGAGAACCACCCCTGAGTTTGGTTTTTGAAGTATTTTGAAAGAATTTCGATGTCCCTTTATGTTTCGTTTATGAACTAGTTAGTAGAAAGAATTTTAATATTCTGTGACGTTTTGTCATTTTAGTAATTTGAAAGAATCTTTCTGTGTATTATGTTTGAAGCAATTTATTAGAATCTTGAAGATCCTTCGTCTTGTTTTGAAGTAATTTGAAAAAATCTCGCGGACTCCCTCTGTTTTGTTTCTGAAGTAGTTTGAAAGAATTTCGAGGATCCCTTGCTTTGTTTTTGAAGTAACTTGAAAGAATCTCAGGAATCTTTCTGTGCATTATTTTTGAAGCAATTTATTAGAATCTTGGAGATCCTTTGTTTACTTTTTGAAGTAATTTGAAAAAATCTTTGTGTGTTGGTTTTTAAAGTAGTTTGTAAGAATTTCGGGGATCCCTTTTATTGCTTTTGAAGTAAATTGAAAAAATCTTGAAAAGTACTTGGGTTTTGTTTTTGAAGTACTTTAAAAGAATCAGAGAGAACAACTTGTCTTGCTTTTGAAGTAATTTGAAAGAAATCTTGGGGACCACTTCTGAGTCTGGTTTTTGAAGTAGTTTAAAAGAATCTCGGCAATCCCTTGTCTTGTTTTTCACGAAATTTGAAAGAATCTCGGGGGTTCCTTGTGTTTTGTTTTTGAAGTAGTTTGAAGAGCTTTGAAATTCCTTGATGTCTTGTCTTTGAAGTAATTCGAAAGAATCTCAGGGATCTATCTGTGTATTATTTTTGAAGCAATCTATTAGAATCTCGGAGATGTCTTGTCTTGTTTTTGAAATAATATGAAAAAATCTTGCGGACTCCCTCTGTTTTGTTTCTGAAGTAGTTTGAAAGAATTTCAAGGATCCCTTGTCTTGTTTTTGAAGTAATTTCAAGAATCTCGGGGATACCTTGCTTTGTTTTTGAAGCAACTTGAAAGAATCTCAGGAATCTTTCTGTGCATTATTTTTGAAGCAATTTATTAGAATCTTGGAGATCCTTTGTTTACTTTTTGAAGTAATTTGAAAAAATCTCGAGGATCTCTTGTGTGTTGGTTTTTAAAGTAGTTTACAAGAATTTCGGGAATCCCTTTTATTGATTTTGAAGTAAATTGAAAAAAATCTTGAAAAGTCCTTGAGTTTTGTTTTTGAAGTAGTTTGAAGGAATCAGAGAGAATCTCTTGTCTTGTTTTTGAAGTAATTTGAAAGAAATCTTGGGGACCACTCCTGAGTCCGGTTTTTGAAGTAGTTTGAAAGAATCTCGGGGGTCCCTTGTGTTTTGTTTTGGAAGTAGTTTCAAGAGTTCCTTGATGTCTTGTCTATGAAGTAATTTGAAAGAATCTCGGAGATCTTTTGTCTTGTTTTTGAAGTAATTTGAAAAAATCTCGCGGACTCCTTCTGTTTTGTTTTTGAAGTAATTTCAAGAATCTCGGAGATCCCTTGCTTTGTTTTTGAAGTAACTTGAAAGAATCTCAGGAATCTTTCTGTGCATTATTTTTGAAGCATTCAGAAATTAAGTCACTCCATGTACACTCTTATCCTTTCTCCTAACGCACAGAATAGAGCGATTTTTTAATCTAAAAAGTGGTTTTCAAACGCACTCCCGTAATTTAATTAAGAATGTTAGTAACATAGTCAACTATGCATTTTTAGAGGTATGTCACCCTCAGTAATGGTATCACTCCTTGTATAACAGTCCTAATGTAAATACGTTGAAAATAAGGGTAGATTAAATTCAGCTTGTAATTTCATACAAGGAAAAAAATGAATTACATTCGATGCCACAGTCCGGTTCTACGAGTTTATTAGTGTTTGGCTTTATTGTTCGTAAATTGACAGTTCATGTCAAGAGTTTTAACTGTTCATGGATGCAATACAACTTAACAGTATTCTAATTAACCATATAAACCACGTATCACGAAATTCACTACGCAAACTTCTCTTTTTTATACAGGTTATATTTAAAGTTGCCGGATGGTTTTATTTAAGTTGTTAATTTATCAACATTCCATAACTTTTCATCCGAGATTATAACAGTTTATTTATAACATTTAAGCGAATGTTATGAAATTTTGAAAGAAAGGACCTTTTTCATCGATCGATACGTATGCAACCAACATCACACGCAAATAATTCTTTTAAATAAAAAACAGTGATGAAAGTTGTGTAGACTACCAGGAAAGATTTATTACTTTACTAAATAACCCCACTTCCTGTATACATTGTTTATGTATGTTTATGTGCGTATTTAACCTATCCTTAAACTTGGCTTTATATTTACACTTTTCACACTGAAACCACTGCACTTCACTTAATAATCACATGGGTCTTTAAATCACATTTAATCTTAGACTGCTATGGTCACACTGGTACAACTTTTTTCGAAAAATGTTATGTTGAAGCCACTTTAAGGCAAAGTCTGTATCAAAGTTGCATTTTTTACAAATATCAGTGATTTTCTTACCTACCGGTAAACATAACCTCAAAAATAAGTTTACGTGTAGATCGTTCGATTGTAATTACAGTCTAAAATTAGAAGCTAAATGGGACAGCAAAACGTAAACGTAATGAACGCTTGTAGTAAAGCCGGTAATAAAAAAATCCAATTTTATTTATAAACAAGACTAAAAGTTTTCTCGCGAAATACGCGACACAACCGCAACCCGGTTGCAATGACGAAACGATGACGTTTCCTCCGGTAACCTTTTGACAAGTGACACCTACACCACAATTACTTGAAAACTCGTTCGAAGTTCAAAACGCGCAGCTAATACGACCATAAACACAGAACACACCTCATAAATTTCATTTTATTTCAGTAGATAACTTAATTTCTCTTTTTCTTTTACGAGGAATGCGTTTATGGGATTTTCAATAGCCGCGATAAAAATAGAGCTCAATCGAGCATATGAGCGTCTCGTTTTTCAAAACATTCAGTTGCTAAAGATCTGTCAGTACAGCTTTGCGGAATTTCTTTTCACATTCTGGAATTTCGTGGATTATGCAAATGTAAACGTGCGCATTTTCGGGATTCCTCCACACGTACTCACCTATCAGATCTATGATGACAATCGGGTCCTCCCCGTACTTCTTGTTCTTCCTGTTGTTGTCCGGCTCGTTGAGTAAAAAAGCGGCGACGTAAGGCGTGAATATCGCAGTGTACATCACTAGAATGAGTATGATCCAGTCCCAGACGGCCTTGAAGGGGGAGTAGTGCAGGATCGTCCAGTTGTGTATCCTCGGATTCTGCAGCTTGTACTCCGGCAGGACGTCCGCCCCCAGCGACAGCACCTGCAACAAATCCCCGAAATAATTTCAGAAACCTCAAGTCGCACGCCACTGGCCCGTAAATATTTACACGACTTTACCAAACGCATCAGTTTGGAGGAACGCCTCTGTGCCGACACGGACCCGATGCGCCTCAAGAAGTGCGGCATCTTCCGCAGTTGGTAACACTGCACTAACTTTTTTCCTAACTAAACTAAACTACATATCATGTTAATTTTTATCCCGGTTTTACGGCCGCTATTTTTAGCTTTATGTCTTCGGCCAGTGCCAGGATTACCAACCGTCTGAGGCCCTTTTCGAGTGACGTACCAACGCGCATCTGTTTATGTTGGTAGCAGACATAGGTATGCAAAGCGAGGCGGAATTCTAAACACTTCCTAACACTTTATTGATTCACTGCAAACTCACTGGGTTTAATTAAGAGCAAGATTCGAGAGTTTATGACGTCGGGGAAGAATGCGGCACACGAGTCTATTTTTTTGCCGCTTTATTATTGCCGGGAATAGATCTGAAGAGGTGACTTATTCTGGGATGGGAGGGGCAGTGAGGAGCGATCAAATGCGGGTTTATTATTTTTGGAGGAAATTTTGCTTTTCCGCGGAGAGGGACGCCGCTGGAATTTTTTCTTAGGCGGACTTCAAGGTTCTGCTAAGTTTAGCAACCGTGACTTCATTGTGAGATCACGATTTCGTTCAGGAGCGTTGGGTTGTCTTTTTGCTTTCTCCAGGACGTAATGCGTCCGGTTCAAACTATACTCGTGTGTTTATTGCTCGCAATAAAACCGATAAATGTTTTATTTTTATTAGCTTCGGAGAAAATGCTTCAACGCTTCACTTAATTTATTTCTTGTGTTTAAATTTAGGTTACTTTGACTCCTCGACTACGAAAAAATAAGTTCCCCAAGGATGACTCCAAACCACTTTTCTCGCCGCACCACACCTAATCAGTAATCACGCAAAACAATTTCTGAAGATATCGTTTGAGCCAGCTCCCAGAGGCTGTTTAATCTCCTTCGCACACACATAATCCGGTTTACTGCCTTACAATTAATTTCTTTTTATGGACGTGCTGAAGCGGGCATCGATTTTCCCTCACGGATGCTGAAAACTCATGTGCGGCGGAAGCTCCGACTTTAAGGAAGCGAATTCCTGGAAGACCTGGACGATCGATAAAATTCCAGCCTGAAAGTTTTATCATTTTTATTTTGTCCGGATGCTTGTATTTGGGGCACGGATGGCCACTTTGCGTCTGCTTTTCAGCGAAAATGAAATAATGTGAATGTGCCAGCTGTTCACAAGAGGGATGAAAAATATTCTTAAAGTGCGATCATTTGAATTTTCCGGGGCATTTGGCTTTTGTGACGAAAGTTGCAGAGAAGTTGCTACTTTGGGAGGTTTTGTGTTTGAGTGTTGTTTATTTTGGGAAGCTGTTTATTCTTAATTGGATCTTGAAGAGGCGAGAGAATCGATCAAGTTGTTTTAAAAGTTTACCAGTTTTTAAAACTGTCACTGCAACATCAACAGCTTTAATACAGAAAAACCCATTATTCATGTCTGACATCTTTAATTCCATTGAAAAATTAAAACTACGATGGACATGTGGCCCAGATGTTATACCAGCTTTCGGTGTGTGGGATTGTGTTGATGTATTACTAAACCCGAATCAATTAATTATATTCAGTTTAATTTTCAGGTCTGGTGTACCTATTTCCTCACCAATGGAAAATTTCATCAATTTATGCGGTTTATAAAGCTGGAAATAAATCCAATTTCGCACTAAAACGAGTTTTATATTCTGCTTTTTTCACGAATGATTTCTATAATGAGCGCGGTTTGCACACAAAAAGTTTTACTCAGTTTTTGTGTGATGTTTTCCTATTGATCTTGTGGTTTCTGAAACAGCTTTATGTAGTTGGTGGAATCATGTTCATGTAAAAGCTCTCTTTTTGCGAAGGTTGAGGGTTTTAAGTTCAACAAAGCGGAGTTCCTCAAGGTTTATCTTGGAACCGTTGTTCTTTGAGATATTCTCTAATGACGCTGGTAGATTTCAGTGGACGACTATTAAAAATTTCCAGGTCAGATATTGAAATAATGATAATTTTTAGTGTGCTTTCAATCATAAATGTAAGTAAGTACGTTGAATTAGATATTTGATTTTTTTTCAAAAAGCAATATTGAGGTGGTTCATTTGAATTAATAGTGTAGAATAGTTTGATGATTCAGGTGAATATTAATTTCGTCATGTTATATAAAAAAATAGCGCAAATATTCGGTTTGAAATTATTTTTTTTGTTTAAATACAAAAAACTGCAATATTTCAGAGGGCAATCGAAGAAATGAGGTCAAAATTAACTCCTGGAGTTCTAATTCTATAAGAAAATGTGCAAGATCTAAGAATTTTCGGTTAGAAAAGATATTCTTTTAAATACAGAAAAATGTATTTAGCTAAATTTCGACAATTGTGGAAAATTTGGCGAAATTTTCATGGGGAAGTTTACTGAAAAATTTTTCTTTTGAAAAAATAGCGCGAAGAAATTCCTCAAAAATTCTGGAAAATCGATTTCGTCCTGGTGATTTCAAAAATATAACGCGTTTATGCCCTGTTGCTACGAAATAAACCTATACGCCGCCTCGGTACGACTCCTTTCTGGTCTTGCGCCGATGATAACTCATCCTCAGTGCGCTAAAGAAACGCTTGGAAACGCAAGTCGCGAATGTGGGTTCCGGAGAAGTCTAGAAGCGGTGACCTAGGCGTTTCGAGAAGGACCGCGTGCTGTTTAAATGGAGTCCACCTTCGGCAACGACGATTTTTCAGCTAGTTGAGTCAAGAGAAGTTGCGCCGGAATTAATTTTGTACATAATCGCTCTGTAATTAGTCGCGTAAATCCGAGCTATTAAGAAATAAATTGTTGAGTTTTACCCACGCGGATTTTTATTCACCGAGCAACTTAACAATATCAAAAAAATCAGACCGAAGCTAACTTCCGGATTTCGAAATTTATAAGAAAATGTCCAGTTAAATTACGAAAATTGTTGAAAATTTGGCGAAATTTTTCTAGGGAGAGTTATTGAAAAATTTTGCTTTTGAAAAAATAGCCAAGAAATTTCTAAAAAATTCTGGAAAACCGATTTCGTCCTGGTGATTCAAAAAATATAACACGTTTATGCCTCCGGTGTAAGACCTAAAAATATTCGGTTTGAATGACTTTTTTTTTTGTTTTAATACAAAAAAATTGGAGTATTTCATTGGCCGACTCTGAAAAAACACAAAGAGATATCAAAGAAATGAGACCGAAACTTACTTCTGGATTTCGAAATTTATAAGAAAATATCTACTTACTTAAACTTCGAAAATTGTTGAAAATTTGGCGAAATTTTCATAGGGAGACTTACTGAAAAATTTTGCTTTGAAAAAAAATAGTCAAGAAATTCCTAAAAAGTTCAGGAAAATCGATTTTGTCCTTATGATTCCAAAAATGCAATGCGTTTATGGCGCCAGTGCAAAATTTAAAAATATTCTGTTTGAAATTATTATTATTGTTTTTCCTGAAAAAATACTAAAAGATAAGATAGAAATGAGACTAAAACTAACTTTTGGATTTCGAAATGTGTCGTTAAATTTAGAAAATTGTTGAAAATTTGGCAAAATTTTCATAGAGAGGCTTACTGAAAAATTTTGTTTTCGAAAAAATAGTCAAGAAATTATTCCAAAAATATAACACGTTTATGCCCCCCGAGGAAGATTTAAAAATATTCGGTCTGAAATTGTTATTATTAATTTTAATACAAAAAATTGCAAGATTTCAGTGAGCGATTCTGGAAAAATACTAAAAGATAACATAGAAATGAGACTGAAACTAACTTCTGGATTTCGAAATTTATGAGAAAATGTTCAGTTAAATTTCGAAAAGTGTAGAAAACTTGGCGAAATTGTCATAGGGAGGGTTATTGCAAAATTTTGCTATTAAAAAATTGCTAAGAAATTCTCAAAAAATTTTAGGAAATCGACTTCGTCCTGCTGATTCTAAAAATATAACGCTTTTGTGCCGGGTGCAAGATTTAAATAATATTTAGTTTGAAATTATTATCATTATTATTATTATTTTTTAATACACAAAATTGCAATATTTCAGTGGACGCGTCCGGAAAAATACTAAGAGATACAAAAGAAATGAGACCGAAACTAACTTCTGATTTCGAAATTTATAAGAAAATGTGTCATTAAATTTAGAAAATTGTAGAAAATTTGGCGAAATTTTTATGGGGAGGGTTACTGAAAAATTTTACTTTTGAAAAAATAGCCAAAAAATTCTCGGAAAACGATTTCGTCCTGGTGATTCCAAAAACATAACACGTTTATGGCTCCGAAGAAGAATTTAAAAATATTCAGATTCAAATTATTATTATATATTTTTTTTAATACAAAAAATTGCAATATTTCAGTGGGCGATTTTGGAAAAATACTAAGAGATATCAAAGAAATGAAACTAACCTCTAGACTTCGAAATTTATAAGAAAACGTCTCGTTAAATTTCGAAAATTGTTGAAAATATTGCGAAATTTTCAAAGAGAGGATTACTAAAAAATTCTGGAAGACCGATTTTGTTCTGTTGATTCCAAAAATATAAGGCGTTTATGCCTCCGGTGGAAGATTTAAAAATATTCGCCTGAAATTATTATTATTATTATTATTTTAATAAAAAAAAATTGGAATATTTCATAAGGCGATTCTGGAAAAATACTAAGAGATATCAAAGAAATGAGACCGAAACTAACATCTGGAGTTCAAAATCTATTAGAAAAGGTCTTTGATTAATTTTCGATAATTGTCGATAATCGGGTTAAATTTTCGAATAAGTACCTACATATTTTGAAAAATTTTTCTTTTGAGAAACTTGCGAAAAAGTTTTGGGATATAGATTTCGTCGTGCTGATTCAAAAAACATTGTGTGTTTATACCCCCTGGGAAAAATTTTAAAATATTTATTTTGAATTTTTTTTTATACAAAACATTTAAAATTTCAGAGGGCGAACCTGAAGAAACAGTAAACTACTTGAAAACCCCACTCAGGGGTGGTCTCCGAGATTTATTTCAAATTACTTCAAAAACAAGACAAGGGATTCCCGAGATTCTTTCAAACTACTTCAAAAGCTAGTAAAGAGATCCCCAAAATTCTTTGAAACTACTTTAAAAACCAAGACACAAGAGATCCTCGAGATTCTTTCAAATTACTTCAAAAATAAGATACAAGGAATTCCCGAGATTCACCAAACCACTTCTAAAACAAGACCCGCAGGAGGACCCGGAGATTCTTTTAAACTACATATTTCAAAAAGCAGACAGGGATGGTCCCCGAGAAACAGAAACATTAGGAGCTGTCGAAGAAATGAGGCCGAAACTAAATTCTGGAGTTCGAAATCTATTAGAAAATGTCTATAGATAGTCTGCCAAAATTGTCGAAAATTCCACGAAATTTTCATTAGGGCGGTTTTGAAAAATGTTCGCGTTTGAGAAAATTCCCAAAATGTTCCCAAAAAATTATGGGAAATAAATTTCCTCGTGCTGATTCCAAAAATATACCGCTTTTAGCCCCTCGGTGCAAGATTTAAAAATATTCAGTTTGATATTATTATTATTTTTTGATTACTTACAAAAAAAAAATGTAATCGTACAGTGAACGATGACAAAATAGTAGGGGATATCAAAGAAATGAGACCGGAACTAACATCTGGAGTTCAAAATCTATTAGAAAATGTTTTTGATTCATTTTCGAAAATTGTCGATAAATTAATCGGGCTAAATTTTCAAATATTTATGTATGTATTTTGAAAATTTTTTTTTAAGAAACTTGCCAAAAAATTCCAGGATATAGATTTCGTCGTGCTAATTCAAAAAACATTGTGTGTTTATGCCTCCTGTGCAAAATTTAAAAATAACCGCTTTCAAATCCTTTTTTTTTAATACAAAAAATTCTAAATTTCAGGGGGCGATCCTGAAGAAATAGTGGGAGCTATCGAAGAAATGAGGCCGAAACTAACTTCCGAAGTTCGAAATTTATAAGATAATGTGTTTGATTAAATTTCGAAAATGGTCGAACATTGGGCGAAATTTTCATAGGAAGGATTTTGAACAATTTTTCTTTTGAGAAAGTTGCGAAAATATTCAAGTTCCAAAGTATTCCCAAAAAATTCTGGGATATAAATTTCGTCATGCTGATTCTAAAAAACACAGCGTGTTCATGATTTAAAAATATTTGTTTTAAAATTATTATTTTTTTGGTTAAATACAAAACATTGCGATATGTATTTCAATAGGCAATTCTGGAAACATGGTAGGAGCTATCGAAGAAATGAGCCCGAAATTAATATCTGGAGTTCGAAATCTATTAGAAAATATCTATAGATAATCTGCGAAAATTGTCGAAAATTCCACGAAATTTTCATTAGGGAGGTTTTGAAAAATTTTCGCGTATGAGAAAATTGCCAAAATGTTCCCAAAAAATTCTGGGATATAAATTTCGTCGTGCTGATTCCAAAAATATAGCTCTTTTAGGGCCTCGGTGCAAGATTTAAAAATATTCAGTTTGAAATTATTATTTTTTTAATACATACAAAAAATGTGTAATAGTACAGTGAACGATTCTTACAAAATAGTAGGTGATATCAAAGAAATGAGACCGGAACTAACATCTGGAGTTCAAAATCTATTAGAAAATGTCTTTGATTCATTTTCGAAAATGGTCGATAATAATTAATAGGGCAAAATTTTCAAATATGTATGTATGTATTTTGAAATTTTTTTTTTTAAGAAACTTGCCAACAAATCCTGGGATATAGATTTCGCAGTGCTAATTCAAAAAGCATTGTGTGTTTATGCCCCCTGTGCAAAATTCAAAAATAATCGCTTTCATTTCCTTTTTTTTTTTAATACAAAAAATTCTAAATTTCAGGGGGCGATCCTGAAGAAATAGTAGGAGTTATCGAAAAAATGAGGCCGAAACTAAATTCTGAAGTTCGAAATCTACAAGATAATGTGTTTGATTAAATTTCGAAAATGGTCGAACATTGGGCGAAATTTTCATAGGAAGGATTTTGAACAATTTTTCTTTTGAGAAAGTTGCGAAAATATTCAGGTTCCAAAGTATTCCCAAAAATTCTGGGATATAAATTTCGTCATGCCGATTCTAAAAAACACAGCGTGTTCACGATTTAAAAATATTTGGTTTAAAATTATTTTTTTTGTTTAAATACAAAACATTGCAATATGTATTTCAATAGGCAATTCTGGAAAAATGGTAGGAGCTATCGAAGAAATGAGACCGAAATTAATATCTGGAGTTGGAAATCTATTAGAAAATGTCTATAGATAATCTGCGAAAATTGTTGAAAATTCCACGAAATTTTCATTAGGGAGGTTTTAGAAAATTTGCGCGGATGAGAAAATTGCCAAAATGTTCCCAAAAAATTCTGGGATATAAATTTCGTCGTGCTGATTCCAAAACTGTAGTGTATATATATAATAGAAATTTAATACCCAGAAGAATAATTTAGTTTAAAAGTTGTTAATTTCTTTTGGCTAAGATATGTTCTAAAACGAGAACTGTGCTATAAATGTGCACTGACGTTTTATTTCAGTTAAAGTTTTATATATAGATATTTGATGAAATGTGTTTGTTGAGTTATTTGAAAAATGTAGGAAACTGGAAACAATACTATGTTGTCATCAAACATAATCTAAAATAGATTTTATGGTGACAAATCACAGTTTTGCCAACTGAAATGCCAGATTTTCATATTTTGCAGATCACTAGAAATGGCAAACAGTAATTTTTTGTCATTCTGATGCATTCTTCTAATTAGTAAAATTAACCAGTTTTTTTTAAAGGGTGGTTTGTCTTAAGTCATAAAAGTTACTACTATACTAGGTACATGTTGACTGAGCATACGGTAATTCATACTTGATATTGACAATAAAAATGGAGTTACCATAGCTCATGCCATCACAGACAATAATTTCAACGAATAGCAAACCCACTCCCCATTATCACCCAATTCTACCCCAACTACCCCCATAACCCCGTCAAACCTTACTCACACTCACATTTCCTATATTCTTCTTGACTTGGCTCTGCGTGGGACTCAGCAGATTCTGGTAGTCCTTCTTCCCGATCGGCAGTCCATTACACGCCTCGATCTTAACAACGCTCTTCCTCGACTCGTTAAACCCCGTCCCTTTAATCCTCACGCTCGACCACTTCGCCGGCAAATTGATCAGATTTGACACCGATCGGTTCCTTCCGATTTCGTACTTGAACGACCCACCCACCGGCAGATTCCTGCTATTCTTGGCGCCGTTTTTGTTGGCATCGGAGCCGTTTGTGCTCTGTTTGCGCGTATCGACGCTCTTCCTGCGACTGCAGGACTCGATTTTCCGGGAGGCGTCCGGGCTCGAGTTCGTCGAAGTTATTATCAGGGGGATCTCGGTGGGTTGCAAGAGGTGGTCGGTCATTGTTACATGTTTTGTGGAACGCTTGTAGATGATATGTTTTAGAGGTGGTGTGCGGGAGCACAGTCTGGCATTTTAGGTGTTGTAGCTGGAAGAAGGGGGCTGTGGAAGGGGTTGAAATGTAAAGGGTGATGTAGCTAAGAACAGTATTTTCACTATTAGAAGCGTATTGAATGACTCCCACTGGTACTAGTTTAGATTGCGAACAAACTGGTGTTCTATGCTTGTACAGAGTTTTATTTATTCAGAGTTAATTGTTTGGTTCTGGTAATGAACTAAGCGGGTTGTTGGCTTGTTCGCCCCTGGTCTTTACACAGTTAATTTCTGTCTAAAGCGCGGCATTCTACTCTCGTTTTTGGCTTTAGGGGGATGATAAAGGTCACAAAGGACAACGTCAGCGACTTGTTTAACTTGGTAAAACTGTTTCGTAATTATTTGCGCCTATTATAGCCCCTTTATTACGATGATGACGTTATTACTGGACACATCTTTAAAGCGTAATGTAACAGAATGGACGTTTGGTTTCTATAGTAAATTATTTGGTAAACAGGTAAAGAGGAATCGATTAACCAATGAAGGTTTTAGTGATTGGTGGCAGTTTTCGAATTATCGCGGAAAATACGAAACTACTTCTATTCACACCAAAAATTATATTATAAAGCATGAATAGGTTACAATTTAACAAAAGGAAGTACAATAGACGCGACGTGCCAAAAATTACTTGAATTGGAACACTAGTTATAGAAGGTTTATTTTACATAGCAAACACTAAGAGGAAACCGCATTTTTTATTAAATCTGATAAATTCTCTAACAAGTTTAGACAGATAATTATTGTAAAGTTTGAAGGAGTTTGGGGTTTTTGTCGTTTCTGAGTTTGATAGTCTTTGTGGGTTGTTTGCGAAGGGATCGAATGGAAGATTTAACAGAAGGCTAATTTCAGATTAGGATAATGGGTGTGACGAGAAATTGACCACCGTTTTGAGATTATCTCGGTTCTGTGAAGGATTGTTAGGGCTCGGATAGAGGTAATTGTGTCAAAGTGAGGGACCAATGATTTAAATTGAGGGTGCTGGATCTGAAACCCTCTAAGGGTTTTTTAAGTTTGAAAGAATTTTAGTCTTTGGTGTTTCAGTTTTAAAAGTTAAAAAAAAAAACTTTCGAGTTCCTGGTGTTTTATTTTTGAGAAGTTCCGGGGGCACAACGTGTTTTTTAATGAAGAAAATTGATGTACCCCATGTTTTATTTTTAAAGTAATTGAAAAACAAATCTGGGAAGTTAGAAATAATCGTAAGGTTTTCGAAAGAATTCGAAAACATTTTTTGGAGCCCGTGGTGTTTTTTTAAATATGAAAAAATAATGTTGAGGTTTTTGGTGTCTCGTTTTTAAAAGTTAAAAAAAAAAACACTAAAATTGGAACTGGGATTCCTAGTGTTTTATTTTTTAAAGAATTTAAAAACATCCCTGGTATATCTGGTGTCTTTTTTTAAATAGGCGTAATACTTGTAAAAAAGTTAGGAAAAATCTTAGGGCCCAGAGTGTTTTTTTAATTAAGAGATTTCGAAGCACCTGGTGTTTATATTTGAAAGAATTTGAAACCATTTCCGGGATTCCTGGTGTTTTTCTAAGTACTATAGAATCATCTTGGAGTTTCAAGTGTTTAATTTTTGAAAGTTTGAAAAAAGATCAGAAATTCCTGGTGTTTTATTTTTGAAAAAGTTATAAAGAATGTTAGGATCTTCGGTGTTTAATTTTTGAAAGAATTCGAAAAGAATTTTTGAAACCATTGCAATTTTTTAAGTTTGAAAAATCTCAGGAAACTCCGGTACGTTTTTTGCAATAAGGAAGATTCGTGTGGCGTTTTTTTTTAAGTTTGAAAAAATTTTCGGGTCCATAGTGTTTTATTTATGAAAAACATCAAAAAAAGTCTCTGGAACCTCTGCTGTTTTTTCAAGTATGAAAGAATGTTGGGGTGTCTGGTGTCTCATTTTGAAAAGTTAAAAAAAAAAAACACTGGAATTGGAACTGGAATTCCTGGTGTTTTATTTTTTAAAGAATTTAAAAAAAACGTCCAGGATCCCTGGTGTCTTTTTTTAAATAGGAAAGAATCTTGGGGCCACTGGCGTTTTACTTGTGAAACAGATAGGAAAAAGCTTAGGGCCTAGAGTGTTTTTTTTTATGAAGAAATTTTGAAGCACCTGGTGTTATATATTTGAAAGATTTTGATACCATTTTCGGGATTCCTGGTGTTTTTCTAAATACTATAGAATCATCTTGGAGCTTCAAGTGTTTAATTTTTGAAAGTTTGAAAAAACATCAGAAATTTCTGGTGTTTTATTTTTGAAAAAGTTAGAAAGGATCTTCGTGTCTTCGGTGTTTTATTTTTGAAAGAATTCGGAAACAATTTTTGGAACATTTGGTGTTTATTTTGAAAGAATCTCACGGAACTCCGGCATGTTTGAAAGAATTTTGGGGTGATTGGTATTTTATTTATGAAAAAATTTAAAAAAATCTCAAGAAACTCTGGTGTGTTTTTTAAGTTTGAAAGAATCTCTGGAGATGCTGTTATCTTTTTTAAGTATAATATGTAGGAATCTGGGGGTGTCAGATGTCTTGTTTTAAAAGTTTTAAATTCATGATGTTTTATTTTTGAAAGAATTTTAAAAAACCTCTAGGATCCCTGGTGTCCTTTTATGTAAATAGGAAAAATTTAAGGCCCAGAGTGTTTTTTTAACGAGGAGAATTTGAAGCACCTGGTGTTTTATATTTTAAAGAATTTGAAAACATTTCTGGGATTCCTGGTGTTTTTCTAAATACAATAGAATCATCTTGGGGCCTCGAGTGTTTAATTTTTGAAAGTTTGAAAATATGTCAGAAATTCCTGGTGTTTTATTTTTGAAAAAGTTAGAAAGGACCTTTGGATCTTCGGTATTTTATTTTTGAAAGAATTCGGAAACAATTTTTGGAACATTTGGTGTTCATTTTGAAAGAATCTCACGGAACTCCGGCATGTTTGAAAGAATTTTGGGGTGATTGGTATTTTATTAATGAAAAAATTTAAAAAAATCTCAAGAAATCCTGTGTGTTTTTTAAGTTTGAAAGAATCTCTGGAGATGCTGTTATCTTTTTTAAGAATATGTAAGAATCTGGGGGTGTCAGATGTCTTGTTTTAAAAGTTTTAAATTCATGATGTTTTATTTTTGAAAGAATTTTAAAAAAACTCTAGGATCCTTGGTAACCTTTTATGTAAATAGGAAGAATTTAAGGCCCAGAGTGTTTTTTTAACGAGAAGAATTTGAAGCACCTGGTGTTTTATATTTGAAAGAATTTGAAAACATTTCTGGGATTCCTGGTGTTTTTCTAAATACAATAGAATCATCTTGGGGCCTCGAGTGTTTAATTTTTGAAAGTTTGAAAATATGTCAGAAATTCCTGGTGTTTTATTTTTGAAAAAATTAGAAAGGACCTGTGGATTTTTGGTATTTTGTTTTTGAAAGAGTTCGGAAACAATTTTTGGAACATTTGGTGTTTATTTTGAAAGAATCTGAGGAAACTCCGGTATGTTTGAAAAAAATTTAGGGTTATTGGTATTTTATTTATGAAATAATTAAAAAAAATTCTCAGGAAACACTGGTGGTGTTTCTTTTAAGCATGAAAGAATTTCTGGAGCCGCTGTTACTTTTTTTAAGAATTTGAAAGAATTTGGGGGTGCCAGATGTCTCATTGAAAAGTTTGTGTCTTTTTTTAAATAGAAAAGAATCTTGGGCCTCTGGCGTTTTATTTGTGAGAAAGATTGAAAGAATCTTGGGACCCATAGGGTTTTTTATGAAGAAATCTTGAAGCACATGGTGTTTTATATTTTATACAATTTGAAAACGTTTCAGGGGTTCCTGGTGTTTTTCTAAATACAAAAGAATCATCTTAAACTTTGGGTGTTTAATTTTTAAAGTGAAACTCCTGGTGTTTTATTTTTGAAAAAGTTATAAAGAATCTTAGGGTTTTCGGTGTTTTATTTTTGAAAGAATTCGTAAAGAATTTTTGGAACCTTTGGTGTTTTTTAAGTTCGAAAGAATCTCAGGAAACTCCAGTATGTTTTTTGTAATAAGAAAGAATCGTGGGACCTCTGGTGTTTTATTTTTTTTTTAATTTGATAGAATTTTCGGGTCCTCCGTGTTTTATTTTTGAAAAAAATTCAAAAAAATCTCTGGAACCCCTGATGTTTTTTTTTAAGTTTAAAAGAATCTCGGGAGCCGCTGTTGTCCTTTTTTAAGAATATGAAAGAATCTGGGGGTTTCTGATGTCTCATTTTAAAAGTTTGAAAAAAAAAACATTTGGAATCCCAGGTGTTTTATTTTTGAAAGAATTTAAAAATAACCTCTAAGATCCCTGGTGTCTTTTTTTTTTAATAGAATCATCTTGAAACCTCGGGTGTTTAATTTTTGAAAATTTTGAAAAAATATCTCAAACTCCTGGGGTTTTATTTTTGAAAGAATTGGAAAAGAATTTTTGGAACCTTCGATGTTTTTTAAGTTTGAAAGAATCTCAGTAAACCCTAGTATATTTTTTGTAATATGAAACAATCATGGAACCCCTGGTGTTTCATCTTTGAAAAAATTTGAATGAAAGACGTCTATAGAGTGTTTTATTTTTGAAAACGTTTGAAAGAATCTTGGCTTCCTGGTGTTTTAATTATAAAAGAATTCGAAAAAAACTGGAACCCTGGTGTTATTTTTAAGTTTGTAAGAATCTTAATCTTGAGATTCTGTGAGTTTTGTGAAGGTAGAATTTTTTAATTTGCTTGTTGATGGATGATAATTCGAGAATTGTTTGGACTTGGATACAGGTAATTCTGTCAAAGAGGGGAACAAGTGATTAAGGTTGAGTTTGTTGGAAAGTTCTAAGTGAAGTGAGAGAAGATCATAAAATCTAGTCCTCGTCCCGGAAAACGTCTTTCTGTTATTAATTCTATTCATCAAAAGTTAAGTTTAAAATTTAATCTATTAATTCTTTGATAATTTTGGACTCAAATTCTAGAGATATTTTTTGTTGATTGTTTGATTTTGTCCAAATGTGTAGACAATCTCACACTCGGATCTCTTCACCTTGACCGGGGAGAGGTGGAGGAAGCCGCGGGTAAGTTATAGTTAGTTTAGGAAATAATTAGTAACTAGGTTAATTTACGTCGAGAAGATAAATGCGTATAAAAATACACTCTTAGCTACCTCACCCTTCACACTTTGGCACAATCCGCCTCATCACCCCTTTCCCCACCCCCACCCAACAAAACAACCCCTCAACTTATAAGAAATACCCCACAAAAGTACATCCAGCAATGTTTGTATCCTGCAACCCCCTAAGCACGAATCAATCGCACTAAATTATTTATAGGTCCATTTAGCCCCGATCGATGCATTTTATATAATTTATAGTAGCTTTTTGTCATCTGTTGTGATTATCATTTCAGTGTTTCCTAACCCCACACCCCGACATTAAAATAAACTCCACAAAGCGCAACAAAATTATTCATGTATTCACCACCCTGTCGCTAAAAATTTAACCTTTTCACCAAGTCAAAAACGCGAATTAAATTATCAATATTCCGTCGTTTTGTTGTGACTACTCTTCACCCCTATTATCACCACATTATGCATCTGAATGTTGTCACAAGACAATCGATACGATAACGTTTCCTTTTTAATTGTCGCTCGCGAATAAAAATTTTACGACTCGCGTGACTTGGACTCGTCTGTTTCCAGTTAAAAGAACTAGGCTTTTATTTATGCAAGTGGGGCTTTTTATAGAGGCGATTAGGGAAAATGGTATGCAGGCGGAGAATAGTCAGACGGGGTTGGTCATTATGAAAATTAAGCCGGGTCCACGTGGCGCTCTGGTATGTCTAGTGTGGACGCGGCCTGAGTTCCAGTGACATTTCGACGACAAATGTTTAACTGCGCACCACGACTACTTTACATATCGATCGTTGTGAGTGCAAACGTGTATTGCTCTAGGGTTTTTCGTGATTATTTTACTGACGTTGATTGTTATTTAGAGCAAATAATCAAATTGCATTTTTTAATATGAACGTAATTTCATTAGGTTATTGGCGAATAATGTAATTATTGTGGCTGCGGTTTCACTCTGTTTGATTAATAAATTAATTCAGCTCATAAACGAATTAGCTAAAACAAACAAGAACGGAATATGTTTTATAGTAATATAGCGCGTGACGTCATAGAGCTGTGTTGCCGATTCGTGATATCAGATATACTTCAAATTAAAAACAGTTTTTTTGGAAAAATTTTGACTAAACTAATAAACATT